ATGGCAATATATAATATTGAACTATTTCATCTCATCAGTTACACAGGTTCTATTAATCATTTCAGTGAAATTTTCTTTCAACACTGATAGCCTATAAGATAAAAGTTAAAATATACGTGGTTGATTAATTTTTCCGAAGAATCCTTTACCAGACATTGATTAGTCTATGCAAGCTTCGAACGATAGTGTTAGTGAGGGGCTAGTTGATACTACTACCTATACAGAAACAGGTTTCAAACCTATCACCTGAAGTCTAAAAGTCGGTCACCCTAACCTCTGGGCCACATTCATCTTTCCTCGGCTAACGAATAGGCTTTTCAGTTTGAATGAATCGTCAGAGTTTCCTCCTTTTTTATTGAGCATAGTAGGGATTAGAGTTGTATGAAAAGTTTGAGCTACTTGCCTTTTTTAAGAACTGTTTTTGGCACTATCCTGACTGAAATACAATAAGATTATCATAATCAGATATATTTTGTTTTGTATTTTAATATTCAGTTGTGTTCCTGTTCCTCTGTACTATTTTAATTTTGTGCTAATTGAATTCGATTATTTGTTTATTTACACGCAGTGGTTCATACTAAGTATAGTCACAAAATGTTGGAATGTTATCACAAAAATATCACATTACTTCTATCTAATGGTAAATTTATTTGACTCCTATGTTGACATTTACATCTGTTTAGCATTGTCTCTATTTTTTCTTTTCTAATGAGAAACATATTTTTTTTTCATTTATCTGTAATTCTATCCGTCGTAGCGATTCAATAGGCTTGTAAATGTCATATTTATTATAGAATGTTGCATAAGAATTCTTGGATTTGTTTCAATTTTGTGTTGTCCTCATAATGATTAAGCCTAATCAATCTTACACATAGAGAGAGAGACCCGAACGACAAGGTCATTTGATAAGTATCAGAAATTTTCAAACAGTCAAATGTATATCACTTGTCAACAAATGGATGCATTATCTTGGGTAGAGGGATGCATATGTATATTTCATTTCCTCGATTGTGAAGATTGTTCAGTTACACATCCACGACTCCTAAACCCCGCAGGATTCGAACCCAGGACCTTCGGCCTTGTGCGCAAACGCTTAACCTCTGGACCACTGAGCCGGTATCTGACGGTGTTAATGTCTAACTTCGATCAATTTACTGTCTTGCGCAACCTCATAGACTGTCTTCGATAGTTAATGTCTACACCCGAACAGGTTGAACTTCACTGGTCATGACTTCCCACTAGAACTCGGAGAAGATTCCTCACGAAGCTAGTCTTTAGTGAGCACACGTAATCGCATTACGCAGTTGTGGAGATTGTTAGGTTACACATTTTGAAACCATGAATCGATCTATCTTAGACCACAAGTTAGGCATTAACACCGTTAGATACCGGCTCAGTGGTCCAGAGGTTAAGCGTTCGCGCACAAGACCTATGGTTCTAGGTTTGAGTCCTGCGGGGTGCAAGAGTCGTGAATGCGCACTGCTGATGAGTCCTATACCGGGATGAAAAGGCCGTCATGCAGTGCTTCCAAGTTTCTAATAGTGGTCTAACATTAATCGATCATGGTTTCAAAAAAAAAAAATATATATATATATATATATTTGTATAAATAAGTATTTATGTATATTATTTACTAGCCAAATAGACTCCTTCCATTCTTATCTTCTTTGCTGAAGTTAGTCAATTTGAAGGTTTTGGCATGCATCATATTTCAAATCTCTTCATATAACACACTATCCTTTACATTCTTTAATTTTTTTTCTTACGTTATCATTTGATTGTTTTTAGTCAGTCAACATAAAACAAATAGATATTTTTGTTGTTGAGGTCATTACCTTGACAATGATTGTCGTTTCATTCTAAATATCAAAAAACAAACTACACTCGTTGACTGGCTTAATTAATTTAACTCTACTCTACTCTACTCTACTGTGATCACTTCCTACCATTATCTCCTTTAGTAGTCATTCACCTCAAATCACTGAAGTGTCAGTTTTTATCTTGGCAATTTTGCTAGATCATAGGACAATATTTTTTATGTGTACGACGCATATGTGTATGTATAAAAAATTATGTACGCAATTTATCGACAACATTTTGTCTTGATTATTTGCCTGATTTAACTATCACTCACTATTTTTTTTTGAACAAAAAAAAGATACAACCAATTTCGTTAGTTGTGAGGTACAAACAAATTGAAAGATTGTTTTGTTTTCATGAAACTGTGTTTATTTGATTGAATTTTTATCAATTTTACGTAGTTTAGTTTTTATTAATGTTGACAATCGCAGTTGAAATTGTGCTTTTGTTTTCAAGTATAAGGAGGAAGTTAGAGAGCTTATCGTTATTTTATACAAACTTGCATAGATGGAGGGTTTTTTTTTTACTGAAAATGACGATTAAAACTAATAATGTCGATAATGTTGTATTGCTGGTAATTCGAGGAATAATAGGGAATTTCTGTTTCGACCCTATGCATGACAGATTACCTTTAATGTATTGTACATTGTTCTAAACTAGGCGATTTTTTTTATACATCTATCACTGTTCATACTTGAGCAACTATTGTGAGAGCTTAGAGTCATGGAATAAATATTCTGTCCCTATCATGGTGAGAAGACTAAGGCAGGCGCGGAAGATTGCATTATGCAAATTTACACTCTTAGTCAATTAAAAACGAAAACATTACATTGAACACTCTATTTGCACACCATCTTTGAGTCGTGACTTCCAACGCATCATCCTTCTTCCATTCCTGTTGTTGCTTCCTTTTCTTCCTGTTGGTACTCCATTTACTTCTTGCTTTTGCTCCATTTGCTTTTTGTTTTCCTCTTCTGACCGTGAGACTTCTTCTTTCACGTCCCTTCTCATACTACTTATATCGTTCATATAAGTAGCACACACCACAATGGGACTCTTCATTTGTAAACATTCACGGCCTCACCTACGACCGAATCCATGACCTTCCAAGATACCGTTCTTCCAGTCCTAACGGTTACGCGTTCACCACAAGGTCTAAAAGTCATAGTTTAGATCTGAAGTACTTATTGTTGAGTAATATTCCACAGAACAACTAAAATACTGTTCAAATCTTTTTGGTTTTTTAATATCATCCTAATTTTGATCAAGTTGTGACACAACCTATTTAATTAATTAATTATTTATTTATCTATCTATCTATCAAATCTACCTAAATTTGTATTCTTATATGACACTGTTTATTCTTTTTCTTTTACTTACTTTACTGTCATTCTATTTAGTCATTCTATCCATTTGATGATCGTAATTGGGATAACTACGTATCATTCATTGATCATCCACTTATCTATGTATAAAAAATAGTAGTAATAATAATAATAATCATATACATACTGGTAATTGATATGTAAAACTATTGCGTGCATAATTTCAGTTTTAAAAAATAGTCTGATATACATATATGTATAGATATAAGTATATGTTGTATAGATTCTGTTTTCTATCCCTACTATATCTAATCTATATATTCTTGTGTGTGACCCTATTATAATAATAATAAAAGGTAACACAACTAACAGGAATTTTATTTTTCATGCTTAATGACTACTACTACTGCTAATAATAATAACAGTAATGCGCGCATATCCAAAATCATGTATAAACACATTGTACATTCTAATCAAAACAAAAGTCACTGTATTTTTGTTTCATTCTCTCTCTCTCGCCCTCTCTACTTTTTCCTAAAAAAAAAATAAAAAATAAACTTTAATAATTTATTTGTTTATTTTTGTAAATTATATTTACTGTTTTATTTTCAACTGGCCCTCAACTAACCAAACTCATTTATTAACAAAATTGTTTATTTATTTGAGAAAACAATTTTTTTTCTTATTTCCCCTATTCAAATAAACAAAAATAATGCATGATTTGAGGTGTTTGGTATAGATTTTACATTAGAATACAATAGTTATTGTTGTTGTTTTCAATTAGATTCTAATCAGACTTTAATCTCTCTCTAATAGATATTTATGTGTGCATATGCGAACATATGAAACAGCTTCCCCCCTTCCATCCCCCAATTAAGGTCATTTCTATAGTTCAGCCCTTTCGGGTGTAGGCAGTAACGACTACCAAAGACATATAGGTGAGGTTAGTTAGACATTAACACCGTTGGATGCCGGCCCAGTGTTCCAATGGTTAGGCGTTCGCACACAATACCGAAGGTCCTGGGTTCGAATCCTGGATGCGCACTACCAGTGATGAGCCCCATACCAGGGAGAAACGGTCGTCGTTCAGTGCTTCCAAGTTTCTACTGGTGGTCTAACAATGATTGATTGATGATTTCAAATGTGTAAAAACACTAATCTCCATAATTCTAATTGAAAATTTCTAGAATACAATGTACAGATTGTTAATGTGATAATAACAGGTTTTGTTAAAAATAAATAAAAGGCTTAAATTATAATGTTACATAATACAGTCAAACGATTTGGAAAAATTAAAACCGAACCGTGGAATAGCAGTCATTAGAATTGTAGATTACATAATAATACGAACAGTTAAGATGATTGGGATAGTGAAGTTTATTTGTGGAGAAGCGAAAGTAAGCGAACAGACAAGAAGAACAAGGACACAGTAGCCAATTGGTTATAAGGTGACATTTGAACATCAACTCTGAGTTGATGTGATACCATTCTGAGGATGAAACTGACCGTCTGAATTCCACTGCAAGCCACTATCATCCACCTTTGCATATTTCCATTTAAATAATATTTGTATATGAGAGAATGAAATCTGATAAAGATCTAATTGAAAATAATAATAATAATAATAATAATAATAATAATAATAATCATACTGTTCACATTGATATTTGTGTGTGTGTGTTGTGTCTAAACTCATCATGCAAGATTTTTGGCTGATTTTTTTTTGTATCATTGAATTCAGTTGAAGAAACTAATATTCTCTTTTTTTTGCCTACATTATCACGCCTTGTATTTTTTTCTTTGTTTAAAATTTAGATAATTTTAATGAAGATGCATCATTTCTTGGTCAATACTCAGGAAATCGTACAATAAATAAAAAGCCTATACATCATCATTCAACAATAAACAATGCATCACCTGAATTATCATCTGTTGACATTTTCACTAATAATAATACACCTATTAATAATAATAATAATAAACTAAATCATTCTGATTTGTTACATCGTAATCTGCCTACTGCTGTCACTACTACTCCTATTACTGCTACTACTAATATCGCTGCATCAAAGTCACCTGTTAATTTTATCACGCATGAAAATCATCAAACTGCTGTGTAGGTTTGCGTGTTTGGCTTGCTTTCTCTCGTTATTTTTAAACAAAACTCATTCTACCACTCGCAACTCATCAATACAATGCATTGCTGCTGAATTATTAATTATTAATTATTATTATTATTATTATTATTATTTGATTTGGATGCGATCACTATTTAACGATTGAAATGCTTTTAAACCAAAAATTTCTTTTCACTCTTCTATTTCTGTTGTTATACTCATTATATATATTCATTCTCTAATCGGCTAAGAAGAATTCATACATCACTTAATCATTTTGTGCTAGTTTTTTATATCTCTCTGTCTGTCTGTCTGTCTGTTTGTTTGTTTGTTTGTCCGCCTATCAGCAGCGGCAGCAGTAGCACCGCATTGAATACGCTTTCTTACAGTTACTATTTGTAATCTATTGACTAGCGCGTCGTTCTACTCCATTTTAATCCTTAGACTTTGTTGTTTTTTTTTACACTACCACTCATTTGTACATTATTTTTTAATGCCCATTCCATTTATTATAGCCTTGTCTATTGCTTTTTTTTCAATACAACGAACAAATGGACAACTGTAACGCATCACCTTCTTTGTTTGTATGTAGACAGGTGTGTGTGTGTGTGGTTGTGGTTGTATGCTGCCTTGGTTTCGTCTCCATGCCGTATTTTGAATTACAATCATTAACTGTCTCTGTGTGTGTGTGTGTCTGCGTGTCTGAGTGCGTGCGTGCGTGCGTGCATGTGTCTGTCGTGTTGGAATATTTGTCACTGCATTCTCATTATTATTATTATTTTACACCGATAGGATTATCTAATCAGAGTTGTTGTTTTTTTCTTTCTTCAATCATGATTTATACATACAAATCTATCTATCTATCTATTTGATTCAAATAAAAATCATGTCATATTTCGATTATTATTTTTGCTGTTGTTGTTGTTGTAATTAATTGAAGAAATGACAAAACTCAACACTAATGAATAAATAAATAAATATTTACAATTTTCTCTTTGCATTGATTACTGCTTCCAAAATTGATGTAACACCCATACACCCACATACACACACATACCTACCTACCTACCTACAGCTGAATCGGCTTATGCGTATTTTTTTTTACTTCTTCCATTCATGATTATATATTACCAACTTATGTGAATGAACAACACCAGCAACAATAAACAATGTCTAAATGTATTATTTCATGTTTATGTTGAAGAGCAAAAAACAGCAACAACAACAACAACAAAAAAAAAGATGCAAACTTTTTTCCACTCATTGTAAGTGTGTATAACTAACTAACTAACTAATTAATCTGTGTGCTTGTTTGTTGTTAACCTTTGGGAAATTGATTGATCATAAGTTTGTTGTTGTTGTGCATTGAATCATTGTGTGTGTGTGTGTAATTTCTCATCTCCTCCTCCTTCTCTCTCTCTCTCTCTCTCTCTCGCTTTCTCATAATTTATCAATCTTAACATGAAAACTATGATGCAGCTATCAAAAATTTCTTATGAGCGTTTTTTTATTGAAGATCCGTTTTTTTATAACGCAGACATATATATTTATATATATAAATTGTTAATATGATTATGTATTGTTTATTTTTATTAGTACATACTGATGATTGGATGACGGGTTGTTGTTGGCGGCATATCGATTATGGATTATTGTCTCGATATGTTATCCATCATGGCACAAGTTTGCATAAAATTGTTATGCTCATCAGATTGATATGCTTGAAACTATTACAAGTTCACCTTAGTCAACAAAATGAGAATGAGACGATGATGACCCAGTGACACGATAGGCTACTCTGATCCGTTGCCCCAACTAACTGAAGCAGAAGTCTTGTTATGACGTAGGAAATGTATTCTACAAGCACCCAGAAAATACAGTGATCTCAAGCACATAAATCGCGTTTATTTATACATCATAGAAACGTCCTTAGGAGAGCCAGAAAAAGAAACCAACCAATCACAGTCAAGGATATCGTGGTGGGAAATGTGATCTCAAGGTCAACTGACCGGCCTATGAATAAAATCCAAAATTAAGACCTTTATCTAATGAGTTCTGGGATCTAACGTCCTCAACAAAAATAGAATCTATGACTAGCAGTGGAATTCATAATATACGTTTCACTCAATTTGGGTCTCATCTGTTGCTGGATGTAGCAGCATCTCCGAGCTAAATGGATAGATCATTGGTGTTCAGAGCGGACGGTGCTGGGTTCGAGTCTCAGAGTGTAAATCAGACACACGTGCATCCAGTTAACGATACCCAAATAGGACGAAACACACGTCTTGGATTCCACTGCTAGCGATATTCAGTCTATTCTATATAATCATCTACGATTAGTTCATGAAGAAGATTGGTCGTTATAGAAAATCTTATTACATTATTTATTTCATTAGACTTATCTACAGACGTACATCTAGTCATATCTGACTACAATAAATCATGTTTTATTTCATTTGAGTGTGTGTCAGTGTAAAGAATTAATGTCTCTTGTGCATATCATCTTTACTTTTCTAAAAGATATCAACAATACATGGACTATGAGTAGCAGTAGGATTTAGTAAATCAATTTCAGCTTACTTAGGACTGGACACCTGAATGAATGTACCAACTATATCTTAATGTTTCTGTGTTCATTGTACGAGAAAAACCCAGTAACTCTCAATTTGAACATCAATGTGTTATTCACTGAGCTCCTGAGTATGATGCTTACGTCATCATCAATAATGATTCAAATTATCCTGTAATTGCCAATTCCTAGTTTGTCCAACATTGAATATAGACGTTGGATACTGTCTGATCAAAAACTATATCAATTGTATTAGATTTATGATTTCAGTGAGTAACTTAACAATCTCCAAAACCCCATAATGGAATATTTTTTTATTCCAACACTTTCCCATCGTTCGGATTTTTTAAACTGTAGTGTTTGATAACTACTCATCCACTTTTTTATTGTAAAATCCAGTATTCGTGAACTTAACTAACTCTGATGATAAAACATCCTCATGTTACAGGATTACAGTAAATTATGGATTTGGATTGCAAGGTGAAACAATATCGATGGAGTTCGATCTGTTTTAGGGGTAAAACAGTTAGCCACTTAAAGCAATAAATGGTGGGTCGCAGAATTTAGTGGATTGATTGACATCAGACAGGATGCTATCAGCTAAATAGTGTAGAGGTTAAACGTTCGTGTGTGAGACCGAAGGTTCTGGATTGAACTCCCACTAGCGGAGATTGTGGATGCACACTGCTGATGAGCCTCATACTAGAACGAAATGGCCTTCCAGTTCGCTTATTAGTGGTCTAACATTGATCGATATATGATTTCAATAAAACTCAACACAACCCTATGATGCCAAGGCGATGGTAGTTAAAGCGCAGGCGTAGAATAATGTGAAGTGACAAAGACTGGTGTTATGTACCACTGAATACTCCAAAAGGTAACACAACTGGTCAGGAGATATGAAGGTTCTGGATTCTCACTCGAGTAAGATACACATGATACTGAAATAGGATGACACAACTATTGTTAACTTGTTGGACGAATAGAATGGTAATGTGAGTATCTTGAAGTCCGATTTTGAATATTAAAAACAAGATCATTGTAACAGTTGTTACTGATGATTAAGAACGTCCACGTATAAAATGTAAAGTGGCTGTCAGGACTCAGTAGTTCAGTAATTAAAAACTTTTACATTTGCGGTGAAAGGTAAGGTAAGGTAATAGTGGTGATGCAGGTCCAAACTGGTGATTAATTTTCAAATAGACTTGCTTATTTCTTCATGAGAATCCATGAATAGTGGTTTCAGGTAAACCTACCCGCCTAAAGCTCTTCTATGGTTAGTGATGGTACCAAGCCCGGATAAAGGAGGAGAGGTTCCGCAGAAAACATACTTGCTAACCAAAAAAATTATTTAAACCATTGAAACTCCGCCCTAGGAGTTAGAAGGTCTACACATTTATACATTATGGTGAAAGCCCGAGTAACAATTCATGGGATTAGTAATCAAGTTAAGTTTAAATACAACTAAATTTGAGGAGATTGACAATGATTTGAAAAAAATGTATTTACAGTCTAAATATTATTATATTTATTGAATACGACAGCGTATTGATGAACTTAACTAATTCTCATAATTATATATCCTCCTCTTATGCGATTACGATCAATATATGGAACATAATGATGATAAAGCGTTGCATAGCTATGGTTGCTTACAATATCGGATTATTGATTTGAACCACTCAGTACCACTCCCTATGAATAAAACTGATATCAAAGATAATGATAACCATTAGCCAGCAGAATAAGATTTTCGTCTTATGAGGAAAAGTAGTGTATTAATGTATACAACATAATCCCTCAATTGGAGTTATGGAGATCATTGTTTTTACACATTGAAATCATGAATCGATCGATGCGAGACTACCATGAGAAGCTTGGAAGCACTGGAAGACGGCCGTTTCGTCCTGGTATGGGACTCATCACTGGTAGTGCGCATCCACGACTCCTGCAACTTGCAGGATTTGAACCAACGATCTTCGGTCTTGTGGGCGAACGCCTAACCTCTGAATCATGATTTCAATGTAAATACAACTAAATTACCCGGAACATTACATGAGCCGGATTAGTATAAATGATTGTAGATTGTTAGTTTTACAAGTTATTTGCATTCAGCAAACAAATATGATCAGACTGTGAAAAATGTTTATCTCATAATCACTAAATCATTATTAAAAACCACAAATTAATTAGACTTTTGTTTAAAATGGTGTCAATTTAATCTTTTGCGAAATAAGTGTGTATTTTATTTCAGATTATTGACTCATTTTGTATCACCATTGTGAAATAAAAATCATCAAGCTAAATGGAAGTTTTTAAAAATACCCATATTACTTACACGAAATGATAATACTTAATAACAGTAGATATTTTAGAAAATGGTGAATTGAAGTGAAGTGATTAATGCATTAAATTACCTTGATTAGTTTACTGT